TAAAAACTTTTATTCGAAGTACTTAAGAGCAGGTAATGGCTTTTTGTATATACATTCGTCTCGGGAATGCAACAATAACCTAATTCTCACAGAAAACGAAGAAATCTTGCTACCCATGGTATATTATCTACCTTTCAGAATCAAATTGAATTGTCTGGTACGGCTATAAGGGCACTTTTGGTAATCCTTTACAATTTTCTTCGTCAAGCTATTTTAGGGCGAAAGAGGATGTCGCTGGCTCTCTTTGACCGGTCGGAAGACGTCAACCATGCGTAGAAATAGGACGATTCAGTACGTCCTGGCTGATCCTGAACATAAAGCTTTTGGTCAACAATCAACTTGCGATAATATTTGCATGGCGAATACAACTTTTTGGGTGGAGTTGGTGTAGTGGCAAACGGCGCACTATCACAAACCCATGGTCACGGGCTCGAATCCTGGAGCGATATCCGCACAAGGCAGCCAAGCTTCTAAGATGGGTTACTTGGTATTGGTTGGGAGTCGGATGCGGGGCTCATCCCACAGACGGGGTTGATTGACGCCCAAAGACTTTATCCTCTTCAAATACAACTCTCTAGACCACTGTCAGACAGATCTATACTCAGAAACGAGTAACGCACCACAGGGAAGAGCCCTGGTGGGAAGCGGGTGTGCATAGGGGCGTGCATTAATTTACAGCGATGCCTTGTGTTGGAAGTGTTAACTCCAATTGTCATCGTGGGTCAGCCCTATCGCTGGACCGACGCAGTCCTATAATGGGGGCTCCTAGGAAGCTATCCCATTCATTAGGGTTGTTTGATTCTCAAAAAAGGCGGCATGCATACTCCTCCTGCAGAAATATAGACGAAAAATTTGTAAAAATCGATAAATGGAAACCTTGCTTTCCGGGACGAATGGAACGGCAGGAGGTTCTGGCACTGGTGAAGGTGGTTTCTTGTCTGGTACGGGAGCGGCTTCTCCATCGTCCTTCAAATCGGGCTGAACTATGTGACAATAAGACCCCTGGCTTGGAAACATGCGAACTCTAGCAGAAATAGTAAAAAAAACTCTCCGAAATTAACGATTTAAGGAATGTAAGCATTTCCAGCACGTCGAATATTTATGGGAGTTCATAAGAGACATACCGTTTCCGAAGTGGGCAAGTCAAGATCCTCATTCTGGTTCGTTGGTTTTGGCTCTAGTTCTTCCTTTTTGGGACAAAGTCTGTAGAAAGCGCTTTTTTTGCTCCACTTTTCGCAGGTCTGGTGGAAGATTGGTAATTATATTGTTAATTAGGTATATTTATATAGAAAAACCCAACGTTCAGGTGGCAGAAGGTGTGAACGACAAAGATCGTTGGTCCAGTTATTAGCGTCACAATAAATGCCAGAATAAATAAGTATAATACCTGAAAAGAAAATCGCGACGTTTTTCTAGTAGAAAAGCAGAGAGCTACAGCAAAATGGTCCATCCACGCTATAGCCCAGGAGGCTTGAACTCAGGAGGACGTACAAGTTACATGGGAGGGGCAACAAGAGTGTACCGTGAAGGAAAGATGGCAGAGAGGATCAACTTCACTCGCGTCGATCCGTTGCACCAGACCGGTGCAGTGCCATGACGTGGAACTGTCCCCTGTCTGTCCCCCACTTATGCCCACATTCAGCAAACCTAGTACTAACCATTCCCTAATTTATCTTTTTTGAGAATAGTGGGCTTCTTACAGTGCCTCTACATTGATGAAATTCCCCCTGCACCTTCGTTATCTATCTGCTGCCCTAATTCTTCCAGCAACACCGGCGAATGACCAGGTATGGAAAAGAGGAGGCACAGAAATCTCAAGTTCCTCTTACAGAGCAATTAGTCTTGCTCTTCGGAGTACTCATTCGCTAGTAGGTGAACTCCACGCAAGTGGACGAACCCCCCAAGGAACTGGTGGTCATATTCTTCACCTTACCCTTCTTCAATCCTCATTATCAACTATACTGCGTACCTGTTCATTCCCAGCAAACAGTACAAGTAGCCACAAAGTGAAGAGAAGTAATGCAAACATCAGAAGTGATTTTGCTGATTTCCTGAAGGTTCAGAGTTATTGGGTAGCAGTAATGAGCTCTAGGATAAACTTACTTCGCCCAGAAGCACTGCTGCTGATCCTGTGTGGCTGAGGTTTTGTCACAAGCTAGACAACTTAACTGTGATTGAAGTCCTGCTAAGAAGATCAGAATCCAATTGGGAATGACGAAAGCCCAGAACATATCTCCCGGGGCTGTTGAGAAGCAACTGGAATATATTATAATATCACAAACTTAGTTGCAATTCTGGGACAATGTGATCTTGGTAGAGAGGTTGGAGAACTTTGTTTGACACCAGGTTACTTGTCTTCGCAATTTCGTAATTTGTAAATGAATAAATAAATGAAATTATCCTCTCGCCGAGGAAATCGCTCATCTTGGTGCTTTAACAATAATGTTTGTTCCTAGGCAAATCGCATCTGCAGCTAGATTGCAGTAAACTAGATTCTTCAAATCCATCAGGGCTCTTGAGAAGGCCCAACTTTAGTCAATAACAATTTCGATGAAGTTTGAGAGCTCGTGAGAGTTTGAAGGGTGAATTACGAATCCCAACTAGAACTTGCGAATTAAATGTTGAAATTGACTGACTGCGATTTTGCTCAATTTTTGGGACAAGCCTGTTTCTAGACTTCCCGTTTCACTCGGCTTTTTTAAGGATCGTAGTGGCCCTTAAGGTAATTGTGAATTGCCGAAACAGTGAGTTACCCAGGCACAAAATCGAGAACAGCGTTAGCATTCCCGATAAATAGGAAGACCTCGGCCTCCTGGAGTTCCGGGAATGCAGAGAGAAAAAGGTCTATTCGGCTTTAACGAACACTGGGACTACTGGGTCACGTGGATGTGATGGTGTTCCTGGTCAGCCCGGTCTACCAGGTGAGAGAGTCTATGCAGAACTTCCTAAATTCTCCAACCTTGATGGAGCTTCTAAGGACCAGGCGCTCCTGGATATCCTGCAGCAGGACCTTCATGCGAAGGTCATGAGGGTTCTTCAGTACATCAGTTGTTCAAGGAGCCCTCATAGAAGACATGTGGTTTATGAAGTGGGCAAGTCGGCATCGCCTACTCAATTCGTTGGCTCTGATTTCGACCATGCCTTTTCAGAAACCTACCATCGTCCATGTAAGCTTCAGATTTTCTCCCACTATTCTATAGGATTTTTAGAACTCATTCCTATGAGAGCATACTCATTCATAAAGTGAAATACTGTTGAATGACGTCACCAAATATACAATTAAAAAACTTACAATCTTCCTGAGAGTGCATAATGGTTTTTCATGACGAAATACGTGACTAGGGTAGGAATTAGGGCTATAAGAACTGGAAGAATATAGTTGAGTACTGGAAATGCCGAGCCATTTTTCTTTGAGTTGCCATGGACCATTCTGAACATCCAGCTTTTCCAAGAAGTCTTTATGAACAAAAAGTCATTCATCTTCGAAGAAGTACTTATGAAACTCACGTTTTCGCAAAAGTCGATTCCATAAGAAAAGCCGCATTGATGAGGACCATGAAGAAATGAGCGAAAATCGCAACAAATTTACAAATATTCTGCAATTCACAATAGCTTGTGAATAAGATAGGAGTTGTTATTACGAGGGGACGAACGGGTGAGAAAGTACCTCCTCAAAGAGGAAAGTACAAAAAATTGAATTCATTCGAAGGTGGGTATAGGGACCCTACCATAACGAATGGTCTAAAGTGCGGCTTCTTTTTTGAATGGGTGTCTCTTAAAAGAAAACTAGAAATAATTTCGAACTGTTATTCTGAGTAATTTTTTCTATGGGTAAAATGTGCAGATATCTTGGCCACCTCATGTTGGCCCCCTTCAAGTTTATTTGGAAATTCCTCAAAGTTTCCTCTCGAGCTCTATGAACGGTTCCGTCATACCCTTTCACAGAACTTTGAATGACCTTCCAAGATTTTCTGCACTTTCTTCTGAGCAGTGCTAGGTATATATCCCTCAATGAAATGGGGGACCAAAGCAATCCACATACCTGATTTGATGAAAATGAGGTGTTAAGAACGAATATTACCACTGCAAGGAGCGCAATGGCAATCTCCTCGAAAAGATGGATGATGCGTTGGTGTCCATTATTTCTAAAACGAAACGGCGTTCAACAAGTTGTACTGTTATTACCTCATCATCAAGTTAGAGGCCTTAAAAATCCATCATCCCCACGCGAGGCAAAATGAATTAAGCAATCTCGTATTCGGGATGGGCCTTTGCGCTCGACTTTCATCCAGGTAGCAGCGTTTATGTGGACCATGAACTGTGGTGGCTAGTTTGGCACCAATGAACCAACCCTGAAAGAATGAAAGGCTCGAATGATCTGAGCAAGTACCGATAGCGGGTTCGATGCTGGAACCATGCGTGCGTGGTAGTCCGCCACACACGCCCACCCTTCACCCGAGTTAAGTCATTAAATGGGAAATTCATTCAGGGGAGAGTGAGAATAAGAGCTAGGAACCGTATCACAATAAGTGGGAGTAGCACACGTCGAAACCTTCGCCTTCAGTAATCTACCCACTTCACCCATCGCTCTCCTAGCCTCCCTTCCCGCTCACTTACTTCCTGCCCGTTTGCCTACGAGACGAAGAGGGTGAGGAAGTTTAGTAGGGGCGGAGACTTAGTTTAGTCAGCTCGTCGTCTTCGCCACTGCAGGTCTTCTTGAGACAATTAGACAATTAGTAGGTATAAAGTATTGTAATAAACATACTTATGTAAAATGTTCACAATCACTGTCACGACGCACCAGAGGATAATCCAGAAGGCAAGGAAGTATAGTGCGTACTGAAGGAAGAACATTGCCTCATTCGATAGTGATAATAGAAGTCTTCTAGAAGACTTACCTTCACTATTTTGATTTGGGATGAAGACAGTACAGTTGCAGTACATCTTAGGTTGAGTTCATCGTCACATATGCCATCTGTGTTCCAATCAGCGCAGGGATTTGGAACTGTAAGGATCACAAATGGGCATCAGTTGGTTTTCCTCAGACAAAAGCCTGACAGAATGGCTGCATACGTCCACCGATACTAGTGTTGGAACTCTAAGAAGTAAAACTATCGCTTAAAGGCATTCTGGTTTGGAAACAGTTGGGTGTTCCACTGGCAGACAGCACCACCACATTCGCAACAGTCGTGATCGTAAGGCCCTTACTGGGTGAAACAGTCAGTCATCTTTCTCTTGAGCTAGCTAGTTGCTGTCTGTAACGAGTTTGCAAGATACTAAAGATCGAAGTGTGAAGTCTTCTGGCGTTGATCAATCCCCTCTAAAGGATGCGCCCCACACTGGGCTTTCATTCAGAATCGTAGTAGCGCATTGGATGTGTATGTGGCATATACATTGACTTGCGATGGCTAGCCGATGCACAGATCAATGCTTTTATCTTCCCAGCCGAGTCTGGTACCGATTAATCAACCCCTTAGGAATAGAGGGAGGCCTATTCGACCCAGTTTTTATGGATCCGGGATTCGAATCCACGACCAAGCCTGTGGGATAGCTCGTCATTTGCCACTACACCTTTGTTCCTTAAAAGACACTGAACATCTATGGGCTTCTTATGGCCTAGGCTCGTCAGACGTACGTTCATAAATCTTGGAAGGAAATAAATAATACAGTCAGAGGCGACAAGTCATCAAACATTGAAAATCATAGAGAGGAACTCGCCCGTTACTGTTGAATGAGATCGTGAGCAATAGCTCTCAAATGATTTCTCTATATTCTGTAGAACATCGTACCTTCTGGGCTAGGATCATAGCATGAAATTATACCGCTGGTAGTGTTCAATTCCATTACAAATGTGGAATTCAGGCACGTGCATGATGAAGATGTCAACGTGTAATTTTCGTCTACCTGAAAATATAGAACCAGTAGGGGGAAAAATCCAAATCGCCATCATCCCTGTCATTTTTGAGGTTTATTGCCCCGCTACGACTTCCTACACTAACTCTAGAAGATTCCTTACCGCTGTCAGGAAGGAGAACAAAGTTTTTGCAAACAAAAGGTATCCTCCTGGATTATTGAATGGGTAAAATGGTTGAAGGGATGGATTCCGTTGACCTTGACCCGACGACCGTGAGGTTGGTTGTGGGCCCTATGTGGCACATTTGCTCAAGAGAACTAGCCCAGCCAGGAGCCGGGCACTCGCCTCTTTGTGGGGAAGTAAGAGAATGATAAACAGGTGAAGAGAAACTAAGGAAAATCCCCTGTGTGAGTTCCCCCACTTAGCCCCCTTATCCTACCCCTTGTACTACCTTTTTTGAAGTAGATTATTAAAATTACCTCGAAAAGGCAGGGAATCACACCATCAGTAGTGGCTAGATCGCATATACAGGGATCTTCTGGAAGGCCAGTTTCCCAGATTGCAATGAGGATCAAGACGATGAAATGGTTTTCCATTGATCAGATGCAAATCGAACGCACAGTAAAATCAAGGAGAGCCACGTTGCTTATCCGGAGTTCCTCATGAAGCGACCTTTTGTCAAGCATCCATGGAAACGCATACATAATTCCTGGCTCCTATCGGTTGAGAAACATTGGCAACTGGGAAGAGGGACAGCAAAAAGGGCTATATGTAAGGGAAATAGTTCACTGCTCCTCAATGATTCCGTTTTGTATAGCTCTATTTGTGCATTTCCGAAGCGCTTATCTTTGGGTTTTACGTTTGATAAGTGCAC